TGTCTACCTTGTGTGTTCTGGACCACACTAAGGAAAAGTATTCAAGAGTAGCAGTCACGCAAGAGGCTCCGACACTTTCCCCAGTCAGTCCGGGACAAGAGTGGGGAAGAGTCTAAATGGACACCGGGTGGTGTTCTTGAGGAAAGTCCTCAAAGTCTTCCTCTCTGTATGACAATACCTCAGTTTAACCCATAATAAAACAATACCCATAATAAAACAATATAATATGAATTTTTAAAAAAGTAAGTATTCTGCACTCATAGAACATCCCACTCACACCGTAAACTGACACTTTGCACCAACTTAGCTTTCAATGTTGGTGCAGCCAAGAAGTCCAAAGGCAATCCGATTTGGATCTGTGTTCTAAACTCCTTCCTGTATCACAGACAAAATGGTACAAAGGGCTTTCTGGGCACAGTAACATTTTATTGCCAATTAAGACAGATTTTGCTGGGTGTCTCTTCACTGATAAAATGCAGTTCCTGCTCAATAATCCTCTGTTCAGCAGACTGACCCATTATCACAAAGGTCCCTGTATACTCCAGCCCAGCAAGCGTATCCCATTTCTCAGTACATCTACATGACCTGCAAGTTATAAGGTATCAGTGTCTCAAATCAGTGTCTCAAATGGGCATCAGCATAACATGACATCTGACCACAGATCCGCAGCCTCTGCTTTTTGTCCATTGAATAATGTTTAACCCGTCTATCATCGCTCATCTGTAACCCCAACGCATCCCACAAAGAGCAGCTGACTATCATTATTCCCATTTCAGTTAGAAAAACTGACAAGTGACATGACTTGCCCAAGGTCACACATCAATTCAATATCAGAGTCAGGAACAGAACCTGGCCAAACTGTCTCTCCTGTTTAGTGATAGGACTTTCCAACCCTAGCAGTCCTAACAATATGACACCACTGCAAATAAGTGCAGGAGACAGAAATTAAATACATTTCTGAACAGACACTTCTCTGGAAATGGAAGTTACTCACCTCATGCAGTAACTGGAGTCCTTCGAGATGCGTGTCCCTGTGGATGTTCCACGTCTGGTCTTGATGCTGTCCTGCCCAGGCTGTGCATGAGTGGTGCCAATGGCACATGCCATGCCAGAGGATACTGTGCATGTGTGGCCTGAACCCTTCAGTTCCTTCTCTGCCTCGCAGGTCCTCTAAGTCCGAAGCAGCGGAGAAGAGGGTGGATCATGGAGCATCCATAGGGACACTCATCTAGAAGAACTCCAGTTATTGCACGAAGAAAGTAACCTTTGTTTCTTCGAAAGAGATGTCCCTGTGGATGCTCTACGTCTGGAGACTAACAATTGGCTTCGCCCTGTGGTGGCTGGGGCTTTAGAATATTATGGGACGCTGATGGTAGTACTGCAGAACCCACAGAAGTGTCAACTCTGATTCCATAGGAAAAACATAGTGCTTCGCAAAGGTAAGTTGTGACGCCTGGTGGCAGCTTTGCAAAAGTCTGTGAGCAGTATGTTGTGAAATACACAGTGGATGAAGAAACCGCTCTAGTAGAATGAGCTGTCACACGTAACAAAGGTTGTAAACCCTTTAGGGTGTAGCACGGTGTAACAGTCTGTGATCCATTTAGACAGCCTTTGTTTCAATATGGCTTGACACTTCATCTACTCAGTGATTTCTACAAAGAGGAGACGGGTTTTCCTGAAGATCTTAGTCCTTTGTAGATAAAAGGCCAGAGCTTGTCTAACACTGAGTGTGTGGCATGGAAGTCTTGAATGCATTTGCATGAGGCTTTGGGGGGGGGGGGAAAACCCACAGGAAAGTTCACCAGCTTGTTTGTGTGAAAAGAGGATGCAACTTTGGGCAAGTACTTTGGGTACATGCAAAGAGTAACCTTGACTGTGTGAAATATCATGAAGGGTGGATCGGCCATGAGTGCAGCCAAATGCCCAACGTGACAGCCAATGTGATGGCAACCAGAAAGGCGACTTTCATGGAAAGGTGTGAAAATGAGCAGGAAGCAAGAAGCTCAAAGAGTGGTCTGGTTAAGGTCAATAACACTAAATCAAGATCCCAGGAAGGTATAGGCTGTGACACATCCAGGTAGAGGAAAAGCAGCCTCTTCAAGAATCTCTCAATTTTGGGGTGGAAGGCTGTACTGGCCACTAGGTGTACCCTGATGGAACTGAATGAAAGCGATGCTTGTTTGAGACTAGGGAGGTAGTACAAGAAGAATGGCAGGGGCAGTGATATCAGGTCTTGCCATGCATGAGGGGGCTGAGGCAGAAATGGAACACCCTCACACAGATTGGGTTGTTTGATCCACCAGAGGAGGGATGCCGTGATATCGTGAGGTATGGTGAGCTGGAGCAACATGGGATGCCTGAGAGGCTTGCACATCATGGAGAACCAGATCTACATACAGCGCCTGCAGAGCTGGGCACACAACACATCGAAGGTAGTAGCTGCTTTATGGCTGAGAAGCTGCAGGCTGTCCCTGGCTGTAGTATGTGGGGGGGAGGGGGGAGTAAAGTGTTGTGGCCAGAGTTTGGATAGTGAGGAACTTGTTGTGAGGTAAGTAGACTTGTGCTGAAGTGGAGTCTAGAATCACAGAATACTAGGACTGAAAGGGACCTTGAGGTCTAGACAGGCTGCAATAAACTTCATGACCTGGGACAGATGGATAATTGACTTTCAGTTTATCCAGAGGCCAAGCTTCTAAAAACATTGTATGGTTATCGATCATGCAAATTGCCTCAGTCTGCGATGTGGCCTTAAGAAGACAGCTGTTGAGATAAGGGAATATAATTATCCCCATAGGTGAGCTGTAGTTACAGCCAGCAGTTTGGAAAAATCTCAAGGAGCCATGGACAGACTGAAGGGTAGGACTCGATATTGGTAGTGGGCCGAGCCTACTGTGAAGCGTAGGAGTCTGTGTACAGGATGTATTAGGACATTAAAGTAACTGTTCTGAAGGTCGAGGGCTGAAAAACAACCCTCTTGTTGCAATGCCGGGATAATGGTGGGTAGAGCAACCACATGAAAATGTTGCATCTTTACAAATTTGTTCACTCTGCACGGATCTAGGATGGGCCTCCAGCCTCCTGATTTCTTTTGAGTTAAAAAGTAACTGGAGTAGAACCCTTTCCCAGTGTTGGTTCTATAGCTCCCAAATCTAGCAGATAGAGAACCTCCTGATTGAGTAAAAGCTTGTGAGGGGGTCCCTAAAGAGGGACGGGGAGGGAGGACAGGCAGGGGGCTGGAGATGAAGGGAATGGTGTATCCCGAGAGAATCATGTCCAGCACTCATCTGTCTTCTGTGATAGCTGCCCACGGGTGGTAAAATGGGCAAAGGCGGTTTCAGAAGGTGTGCATGGTTATAATCGGCATTGAAAGTTCTAGGGAGTTTTCCAGGCCCTTGACCAAGGCCTGAAATACGCTTATTGGCAGGTGGTCATTGTGCCACTGAGC